TGGTGGGGGGGGGGTGTAAAAGTGAAGAGTGTGAACCAGCTAATGAGAATGGCTCTGATTTCCTGACTAGCTCTTTGTTGTGTTTCTGGGCCACAGCTCCGTCTTCACAGTCTCTCTCTGAATGAAGCCCCTGCTGTAGGTAAAAAACCCTGCCTTGCTCATTAGCATGGCTATCTCTTTTCAGTAGACACGTCCGGTTGTTGATATACCACTGCAGTCAGTGAGCAGGCCTACGCCGGGAGAGGCTCAATCAAGATAGTCCCTTCAAACAGACCAGTGAACTGTGAATAACGTCGTTACGTCGAGTCCCAGAACAGAGGTCTGTGGAGACGGAGGAGGAGACTAGATCAAGATTTAAGTGAGATGGACAACAACAGACGGGGGGGGGGGGTCCTCAGAGTTTAGATGACAAAATAATAGGATTACTGCTGCTGCATGTTGATAACACACTGCTGCTGAGAAGACCCTGAAATAAGAGGACGGGCTCCGACCTCACAACAGCAAATATTAAAATAGATTTGTTACACACTTTGTCTGTGTGTGTGTGTGTGTGTGTGTGTGTTTTTGCTGGTCACAGACCTGTCAGGTCTGTCAGGTTTTCATGATCCTATACTTGACACAGACTCCTGGGCAGTGGTGGCTTAGTGGTTGAGGAAGCGGCCTTGGCTCAGGAAGGTTTGAGGTTCGAGTCCCGAGGTGTTCTGAACATGTTGAGATTGTTGGCTCCATGTGACTGGACCATGGAAGATGAAAATGTAGAAGAGGAGTGAGTGACCTCAGACCAAAGAGAGACACGTTAACATCCTGTCACGTCTGTCACAGGAACTGGAGAGCTGCTGAGGTCACTGAGGTCACTGAGGTCACTCATTTAAATGAGTGAACACACTGGAGCAGCCTTTGCTTCATCTCTGGCTGGATTGACTGATGAACCGACCTTTCTGCTGGATGTTATTGTTTCCCTGAGTAGCTGATTGGTTCATTTCTCTCTAATGACTCACAGGACTGTTTTTCATGTTGGACCCAGAATCCCAGGTCCATGAAGAGTAGCACATGACGTGGTTTGGATCTCTTATTGAATTATTGAACTACTCAACTATTATATACCATGTTCACATCCTTGTAATTATACTAGCTCTGCTTCTATGTACATATACATACTACAGAGATGTACTTAGTATACATACATATACACATACAGTATATATACATATATATACTGTATGTACAGTACATACATATATATATACACATATATGTGTGCATGTTGTTGTGATGTTGTAGTAGATGAACAGATGTAAACATGCACTTGATCATGACGTCACAGTGACCTCCCTGTGATTTGTGGTTCAGTTGTCATGCGTTCACGGACTGGATGGCTGTTGCACACACACACACACACACACACACACACACACACACACTAGAAGTATGGAACATTCAAATGAACTACTGACCTGTAAAACACTTTCTATTTTTCAAATTTAAATATAAAAAGCAGCATCTGTTGAGCCATCAGAGATGGAAGATAAAAAGACCATTTCTAAAATGGTCAGTACAGATACACACACACACACACACACGCAGACACGAGAAAACACAACCCCATTTACCAAAGTGATTTTTCTTTTGTGAAAACAAAGAAAATGCCCCATTAATCATTTGAAGTTCTTTGACAAACATCTGTTTGTCTTCAAATGCTGTTGTGTTGTTGTTGTGTGAAATCTTTCCTCTTCCTGAAAATGGTCTTCTTCTTTTTTTGGTTGTTCTACGTTATCGTCTGTCAACCCTCTTGTCAGGGTTCTGCTGTGATTGGCTTCTGCTAATTTGCCCCATGATGCCTCTTGCCTGACAGTTCAGCTCTGAAGAGTTGCAGGCGTTTGGACTCCGAAGCATAACAGGACTAATTTGGGATGTGAGATCTCTTCTTAAACCATTCAGCTCTTCACTTTCATCTGCCGCTCCACCACCACAGCCGGCCGCTGCGCTAAACCTCTGCTTCTCATTGCCTAATGGAGCAGAAAATAGCCCTGTTTGCCTCCTCGTTCCTGCACCTCTGCTCACTGAGGGCCAGCAGGCCTGAGGGGAAGAGTGAGTGAGAGAGTATGGACGTGCATGTGTGGACAGTGACAAGAGAGGGACATTACAGGACACACATGGCCTCTCCATAACGTGCTCCCGGCTGGGCTGTTTGACTGGCCATAAAGTGAAGGCTGCTAACGGCCTCCCACTTAATGGACTCATTAAGACTGGATTGTAGGGGGATGTGTGATTGTTGGTGTACATGTGCTGTTACTTCTACCCTCCTAGAATCTGTTGTAGTCTGTAGATGGTGACACCGGTGCATCAGTGTGGTGTTCAGTCAGCGTAGCTGTGTCGGGGTTTGAGGCTCAGGTCGTCACATCGTCTGACGGGGGCTCTGAACGTCAAAGCCGTTCAGTTCCACTACAGAGTTTCTGCTGCTTTGTCTCACAGTGTGAGACAAAGGCTGATCTGAACAGAACTGCCCGCTGCCTCCACCAGGCCGTGACTGCTCATTACAGCTGTCAGTCTCTCCGTTCTGACCAGAGGGTCAGCTCATGTCTGCTCATTATATTTTACGCTTCAGCTGTGTTTTTCTGCACTGGCCTTTTCTTCCTGTTGTGTTGAGTGAAAATCATGCACCAAACACTGCATCACGGGCCAAAGTAATTAATCTGATAAACAATGACCTTTACAGTAAATTTGGATATTCAGGGTCATGTTGGACATGTACAAGGCCAATGAGGCAGTAGTTAGGAGTGCTGTCAGAGTGACTGATAGGTTCAAGGTAGAGGGAGTTACATCTGGGACCAGCTCTGAGCCCCTTTTTGTTTGCTGTGCTGATTGACAGGCTGTAGATGAGGTCAAACACGAGGCTCCATGGACCGTGATGTTTGCAGATGACATTGTAATCTATGGTGAGAGTAGGGAGAAGGTGGAGGAAAACCTGGAGAGGTGGAGGGTTGAGGAGCAAAACAGGACACGTGTGGACGGTAGAAAACTGATTTGTGAGTTTTGCAGCAACAACCAGACCCTTTTGGGATTCTGGATTCTGATTGGATCAAGTGGAGCATGTGTTGATTGTAGAAGAAAAGATTTGTTGTTCATCCTCTCCAGATTAATGCCTGATTTACTCCAGTTCCAGTTCCAGGGCCTGTTCTCTGCCCAGGCCTGATCTGGAACCAGCGTCTGAACAAACAGTCAGCCAGGAACAACACACTTCCAACCAGTCACTAAAATCTTTTTGGATCTCGGGGACGAAACTGCGTCTGTCGTGGGCTGAAGTTGTTATAAATGTGACCGTCAGATTTGTGGCTTTAACCCTAACTGAGGCACTGGGCCTCAGGAGATTATGATGATCAGGTTTATGGTATTTTACAAAGACTTTTTTTTTCTCAGACACTGCACTCTGTGCACCACTGAGAGGCTGACCTGCGGCTTTAGAGTTTCAGGATTACCTGTGAACCTGACGCCCAGAGGTTTGAACCCATACTTATTCATTGTGTAAATTCATCAGGGAGGATGTGATTGGTAGTGAATGTGTACAAACATACAGTCAGTGTCATGGAGAACTTAAGAACAGATAGTTCTAGATGTGTGTCTGTGACCTCACCAGCACTGGACTCTACAGAACCTTCTGTGTTTGAGTTTCTCTCCAGTATCTGATGTTGAAGCAGACAGTTGTCAGACCATATGTTACCTTCTTTTAGATGTATTTTCTGCCTCCATATATCTAACAGAAGGAATCCTGAAAACCAGCACTGAGGTCGTGTTGGACTTGGTCCGGATCAAAGACCTACAGAACCTATATCTGTGTTTGTGATACTGAAGCTGAAGAAATATGAGTTGTGACCCAGAGTTGACCTGCGTCTGTGTGGCTCGTTATTTTAACCCAGTGAAAGAAATTAAAGACGTTCCCTGCGGTCGATCTCTCTGCCAAAACCATTGGTTCTGTTCTTCCTCACATTAGTTTCTCATTTAACACCTGCTGTCGTACTGACAAAAAAAGACTCAAACTGCAGCAGAACATATACCATAAACATGGAACCTGGAATGTCACCTTTGACCCAATGTTAACATAATATTTATATCACAAAATAATAAGCCTATGTTTTATAATATAGTGGTAATTATTATGTGGATCAGTAGCTAACGGGACATAGAACCTCAGGAATCCTCCAACCCGTCCTTGTCAGCTTGAGTGTTTGGTAGTTTTTGTACTGATGCTGGTGACGACCACAGTCGTGTTCAGCTCTTACACTTCAACGTCGCAGCTTTTGTGTGGTTTTTTTTTTTCAGCT